TTCTCTTTCATCGGCCTTTCTCAAGCAGCATTCTCTTCAATGGATCTCTCATTTAGCTTTCTTTGAATCCTCGTTACAGCATTACTGTTTAACCATTAATTGAATTATTTTTAGGTTTTCAAATCTTGATAAGTTATTGATGGATGCTACTTTTATACGCGATTCAATTTTATTTAAAACATTATCGTTTACATATCTCTCTACTTCTTCGACGATGCCTTTTCTTTCACAATTTTTTCTTTTTCAGGATTCGAAAGCACTTTCAGGGTTTAATCTTCGTGAGGTTACTTTCTTGTAGTGTTTCTTTCTTTTGAGCTCTCTCCCATCTTTCTCTTCTAGTTTTCTGATGACATTACTCCTTTCCTAGGGAAATTTCCCATAGTATTTCTATGCATCCTTTCAACATTTCTCCTGTCAGCCGCAGGGCCTTCATGTACCTTCAAAGTAAAGTTCTCTATCTACAGGGCTTGGTACACAGAGTAGGCATGGGACATTTGAGAACTTAATGAATGAAGATCTGACTTGGCAACATTATAAATAATCATCAGAGAAAGTTTTAAAACTTTCAAAAGAGCTGGCAAAGTTGTAGGACACAATATAAGTATCCTTTCCTTCTCATAGTGGCTATATATTTATTGTATATATCCAAGGCTCACTAAAAGTTTATAAACATCATTATTGCTTTTGAGGCAGTACACCCCAGGCTTCTTTTCAATTACTGTGTAATTCATATTTGAACAGCCATCTTAGCAAATAATTATTTCTCTTAACCACTCAAAAATTAAAAACAGTATTCAATTAACATCTGGGAGTTACATTTTTCATTTTTTCATATTTAAACTGTCAGTTCAACTTATAATCTTGTAATAATTTGCCATATGGCCTCCTACTGTAATTTTGCTTTCTGCTTGGAAAAAAAGACAAGGAAATATGTTTATTATACTAAACAACTTACAGTACTACCTATAAAAGTGAAATTCAAATTGATGGTGGTGTTAATAAGTAAACATTTCAAAGAAATCACTGTTAATGTTAGGTCAAAATGGGGACGGAAGATTTTTTCAAGACTGGCTACACTAACTAGAACAAGTTATTAATCGTGACGTCATGTGTCTGCAATCTTACCCACTTCCTACAATATAACCCTCCTTGAAAATACACACCTTCAATCTGACTTCCCACCCATTCTTTTTACCACATGGTTATATCATAAAAAAGTTTTTAAAAGTCTAAAATATTTTCACCATAACAAAGTTTTTCAATATTCAATTATAAGGTTGTAGGAAGCCACGAAAGGAATACCATTCTAAATCATACTCTTCCTCTCAAGGCAAATACCAGTTTCCACTCAGTATATAATAGGATAGTTTATTAACTATTCCACAAAAACACTTTGAATATCAAGTCATGTTATTTGTTTTTGTCAGAGAACCAGAGAACCAACCGGAAATCCCCTGTGGGGAAGTTTTTTCAGCTGGATTCTTTTTTTGGTGACCTCGAAGCCAATCTTCAGGGCTCAACTTCTATGTCACTTCCTCTGCAAAGTTCTCTTGAGCCCCCTCCCCACTTCCCAAATTTCGATTTACCACCCCTCTCCTCTGTGTTCCACAGTATTTCTATGCATCCTTTTACCCAACATTTCTCCTGTCAGCTGCATTAGCCTTCATGTACCTTCTGCAAGTTCTATCTACAGGGCTTGGCACAGAGTAGGCATGGGACATTTGAGAACGAATGAATGAAGATCTGACTCTGGCAACATTATAAATAATCAGAGAAAGTTTTAAAACTTTTCAAAAAAGAGCTGGCAAATCTGTAGGACACACATAGTATCCTTCTCATAGTGGCTATATATTTGGTTGTATATATCCGCGTCTGTTTATAAACATCATTATTGCTTTGGAGGTACACCTCAGGCTTCTTTTCACTACTGTGCACTAAGTATTTTAAATGGAACAGCCATCTTTAGCAAATAATTATTTCTCTTAACCACTAAAAAATTAAAAACAGTATTCAAATTAACATCTGGGAGTTACATTTTTCATTTTTCATATTTAAAACTGTCAGTTCAACTTATAATTCAGGGACACCTGTCATATTCTACTGTACCTTGCTTCTGCTTTGAAAAAAAGACAAGGAAATATTTTAGTTTACTAAACAACTTCTTACAGTAATTACCTATAAAAAGTGAAATTCAAATTGATGGTAGTTAATATAAATGATTTCAAAGAAATCAATGTTAAATGTTAGGTCAAAATGGGACGGAAGATTTTTTCCCAAGACTGGCTAACTAGAAATTGTCATTGTCAATCGTGACGTCATGTGTCTGCAATCTTACCCACTTCCTACACATAACTTCCTGAAAATACACCTTTCAATCTGACTTCCCACCCATTCTTTTACCACATGGCTATATAATTACAAAAAGTTTTAAAAGTCTTCATCTAAAATATTTTCACCATAACAAAGTTTCAATATCCAATTATAAGGCTGTAGCCAATGGTGCTGAATACCATCTAAAATCATACCTCCCTCTCAAGGCAAATACCAGTTTCCATCCAGTATAATATTTTATTAACTATTCCATTCCAAACACTCTTGAATATCAAGTCATGTTGTTGGTTTTTGTCAGAAACATTCTTCTTTGATTTCTAATACTCAAACCAGGATAACACTCTCAAGTAGGAGTTTAACAAGCCTTCCATTGCTAACCTCACCATTTTCTGGTTCAATATTAAATTCTCATGTGTACTCTGAGACCAAATGAAGACATTTTCAGAAAATTCTCTACCTATGAATCTCTTACTCTGAGCTCTTCACCTTTCTGAACACTGTGTCTTTAATTTCCTTATTCTTTCAGAACTAAAATTCAATCTCCTCTGTACCAGTACAAGTCAATGACTCCAAATTACTAATCAGGGTCCATTTATTTTTAACAATATGTTCATGTATTTATTTTACTTACAGGGATTAGGAATTATGGCTTGTGCATGTTTTCACTTCATCTTTTATTTAATACTATCTTTTTTGACTACCAATTTAAGACCATTATAGCACAGTTCCACAGGAGATTTTTCAAGGAAGGCAAAAACCAATTTTGGTATCTATGCAGAAATATTCATTTGACAGCCTACGTATGCTTAATAGAAACTATCGTAAGATAAACAATAGATAGATAATAGAAATTGTCATTCTCATCACATTGTCCATACGTAATTTTCACTCATGGAAAAATACTTCACATGTAATTGCAGGAGTATCAAGTCCAAAATGTACACGTTATGGGATTTAGTGCATTAACGACCTTCGAATTAACAGGAAGATTTTTAAATGACTTCTGTTGACCAACCACCCTTGAAGGAAAGATAACTGATACGGCTGGAAAGAAAATCGCAGGGAAGGGGTGAAATACATAAAGGAGATTCAGAGGTACGATCTTCCAGTTATAAACTAATAAGATGCAGGAATGTCGTAGACCACAGGGGGAATACAGTCAATAATAATGTAGCAATTTTGTATCATGACAGATGATAACTAGACTAATTACAGTGACCATTTTATAATATATATAAATATCAGAACATGATGTTGTACACCTAAAACTAATGCAATATTGTTATGTCAATTATTCTTCAATTAAAAAATGGTAGGGAGAACTGAAATCTGCCTACCAATATTTTCCTAATATTTTATACTGGAAAACTGCTCTGCTCTGTAAGATGGTAGCATATATTAAAACATGAATCAGGGGAGAGAGAGAGGAGATGGGGACGACGGCGAAGGGAGGGAAGAGGAAAGCAAAAATGATCCTATAGGAAAATAGACATTGTTGTCAAATATACTGGAATACCATCAAGTAGCCAAGTAAAATGAACCTGAACAAAACCACTAATAGGCTCTGTATTCGGTACTCTTACCTTCATTTAATGAGAAATTGACCTTGAAGTGACATTACATTCACCAACTTAAACCCTGAGCTTCCCAATTAAAGTATTTTGTAGTTGGTCACATTATCATCAAAAGCTCAACTCTTTGTCCTTAATGGAATTTAGATTATTAAAATGCTGGGCACCATTTGAAAAGATATTTACTGAAAATTGATGCTCGAAACAAAATTCATCTGAAGTCTCAGAAAGTGGCTCTTCTGGAAGATATTTATTACATGTCCTCACCTTCACATTGGGTTTTGACAGCAGTTTCAACAGCTCTCTGATCTCACTGTTTAATGGCTTGTTCTGAAGCTCTTCGGCCAGCTGCAAGGGAGATCACATGGACAGAGAGAGCATTTAGTAAGAGCACTGTGTAGCTCCATGTGTGACAAATGAGAATCTATCTTGCCACTTTCCAGTGATTAAGGAAAAGTCAGCATGAAAGAAAACAGACGATCAATCACTGCTCCTCTTTTTAGGCCCTTGATAGCCCAGGTCCCAGCCCGGGATCTTGGCTGAGAGTATAACTAAAAAAAATCCTATCAGCCAGATCACCTTCTGATTTATTGCAATGAGGGCAAATCCCAGCACTTCATCTTAAGGAATGGTCTTTTGCATGCAAACAAAGGACCACTTGTAAAAAGGACTGGATCAGGCTTTGACATGATTTTTTAAAAGAGAGAGAAAGGAAGAAAAAGAAAAAAATGAAAAAAAAACGGTTCTGAATGAGGTGGTGAAACCCACAGGGTTTCCAAAAACCCACAGTAGCTTGCTGTTTAGAGCTGAAGTGAAAAAGAACTAGAATGTCTCTAATAGAGCAAATGGTCTGAAACTTTTATTATGTTTACCTACACAGACTAAGAAGTCCGTTAAATGGGAACCAGGCTAATCATAAAATGACTTACAATAGGTTGACAAGTACTCTGGTACCAAAAATGCTGACTGTATTCTACTATAATGATCCAGAATGCCCGTAGATGATTCTAGCTAAAGAAAGGGTTAGAACGTTGAACCTGTCTCATGTTCTTCATTTAGAGATGTTCCTATCAACATTCTGTTCCATTTCAGGTATGGTAAGGATCATATATTTTCGAAAGAAGAAAAGCAAGAACAAATAGAAAAAAAAAATTACAGGGGTGCTGGGGTGGCTCAGTTGGTTAAGTATCTGACTTCTGATTTCGGCTCAAGTCACGATCTCATGGTTTGTGAGGTTGGAGCCCTGCATCGGGCTCTGCACGGACAGAGCAGAGCCTGCTTGAGATTCTCTCTCTCTCTCCCTCTACCCTTCCCTCTCTCTCTTAAATAAACATTAAAAGAAAGAAATTTAAAAAAAGAAAAAAAATTGTGAAATACTCAGTAAAGAATTCAAAATATGTACATATATTTTCATTTAAAAACCGTTCTTAAGATATTGCATGAAATTTCTTTTTGTTTCCACCAAGGTTTTTAAAAAGAGCTGTTCTTATCTCTGGAAAAGGACTTTTCTCTAAAAGAAGGGCATAATATAAATTATACACAAAAAATAAAATCTGATAAAATTGATAAATTCACTGGTTACATTTCAAAAAGTGATTTTACTTTTCCAAGGTAACATTTTTGTCAAGTTAAAATAATTCTTAGAAATAATCGCTAACTTACAAAAAGGCATAAAAGGCTCTTTGCATGCCTTAGTCACTTTTTTAAAATTTAAATATATTGCTGGGATGAATTAGAAAATGCTACATTTTACTGTATAAGTCTCTAATTTTTTTTAAAAGCAATACTGTAATATGATTGGTCCTCAATCACATTGGATATCAACAAATATTTCCCCAAACCCTCAAGAGTCAATGTCTTTAAGGTGCTTTTTAAGACTTCCTCAAGTGGCAACTACAGCTCACAGCTGTAGAATTCTATCTACACCTTCACTTCAAAAATTTTGGTTCTACGATGCACAGGAGTGAGTCGCCTCATAAAACACATACACTGAAACATCCCGATAATTTGTAATCTCTGGATAAACCTGGAAGGGAGCCTGGGGACTCACCAGGCAGCAAACATCTGAGAGATTTATTACATATGCTTTATTATCTAAATTAGGAGATAAAATATATATAAGAAAATCAACCTCGGAAGGTGGTTGGTTTTCTTAAATTATACTTATGGCCCTGATATTTTACTCAAGTGAACTACTGCTTGTTTTATCACAACAAAGTAAAAAGTTTAAAAGGCAACAGGTAAGTTAACAGGACATCACTAAAACGAGCCTTCACACGCAACCGATTTCTTGTGCAGCTTTGGTGTCTTATAGTTTATCCAGGTGCGCTCTCAATTCATCCGAGTTTGAAAGTTAACAGTAAGAAACAGCAAGTTAGCTCCCTTCCCCAGATCGAAAATAAAATTATAGCCACAGGAAATTAACTACTCCATCAATGCCAACTGCTTCTAAAATTTATTTTTTGGTTATGAAGGTAATTTGGAAAGGTCTAATATCCATAAATCATTACTATGCTTTATAATCCATTTTAAAAACAATCCTGTCTTTTTATGTATTTCATATGCCTCATTCCTATACGAGTGTCTGTCATTTTTTTAGCACTGTCAGCAATAGACATATCTCATTTGTCTTTATTTCTCCAAAGCATTCCTCCTGCCTGTGACTTTTCTCAGAACGCTAATAGCTGACAGCTTCTCTCTCCCCGGAGAGTTCGAGCCTAAAATTTCTGTTACGTAGTTACCAAGGCAGAACAAGATGGTATCTCCAATGCAAAATTTTTAGAGCAGGAGAGTGAATGAAAATCAGCATAATATCAGCATAAGCTCTGTGATGACAGGACTTTTGGAAACGTTTGCAGCTTCTTCTGGTTTTCGCTCATTGGATCACACGCGTCTGTCTGCACCGGGATGAGCTCTGTCCCGGCCAGGCCCGAGGGAGCCATGTCCCAGGGAGCTCAGGAAGGCACACTTACATCATCGGCCAAGACCGCTGCGCCGTGGAGGATGGGCATGGGGTTCTGCTTCTCATAGTAGTGGAGTTTTTCATGAATCTGGAAGAAAAACAAGTGAGTATAAGTTCACCTGCTGGCAAACAGGAAGATACTGTAAGATTTTTATCTCCGCCAAGAAAACTGATGCGCTCGACTCTCTAAACAAAAACTGTATGTTTCGATAAACCTAGAGATGACAGGTATGTGGGCATCATTCATCTCTGGTCCAGTGTTTCTAACATGAGGTCAAATGGGGGAAAAATCGTTATCAAATAGGACTCACAGAAAAGCTAAACCTTAGTTTTTCCCCCGAATAATTGTTAGTTTTATAAAATCTGTAATTTCTAAAACATATTGCTTCAATACCTAAGTATTGGTTGTAATTTATATTCCTGCTAAAAACATAAATTATGATTAAAACAAAGTGATAAGCTGGCAGCTACATCCTGCCAGGCTGGTTTGTGATAACCACGAAGAGCGAGGGGGCTGGCACTGTGTGGGCCAGTGGTCAGCACTCTGGGAACGCCTTTCTGAGCATGCTGTTCCTTTGAGTCTTTTTCCCCCCCAATTGTCAGCGTCTCCCCTGCCCAGGGTCAAACTTCTAAGAAACAAAGAGAGTTCTCATAGCTAGAGAGACACGTCTCATAACTATTAAGCTTAAATAATTTTCTATACTGTAAAACCAGTAAAATTATATTGTTAAATAATAAATAATTTGGTCCTTCATTTCCCATCATTACCCAAGATACACAAAGCCCAGAAGACAGTTTAGTGCATTATAAGACAGCGTTCTGTAAAAAAAAAACCAAAAAACAAAAAACGAAAAAACCCGAGTATTATCAAGAGATGAAAGATGCTTTGACAAACGCAAAGCATTTGATTGATTTCAGTTTGATCGATTTCAGCTCATACAGAGGTGCCCTTAAAATGTTATACTTGAAAACTTACTTGAGCCTCTACTTATTCATTTACACTTGAAGAAATTGCCCCTCACTATATATAAAAAACAGTTGCACTTCAGAATTTCCCATTTTTAATAGGTATCAAGTAATACACTCTTAGGTATCCAGTAATATACTCTTTAATTATACTGAAAGCTAACCAAACTCTCTTGTAAAATGTCTGGAAGATAGATTTTATTTTGATTAGCCAGATGCTACTGCTAAGAGAGGATTCTATTACCTTTTTGGCAAGCTGGTCCACAATGCAAAGTATCAGGGAAAGAATTTCGACACTTATGATATTACCAGTGATCAGGACCACAGTTTTGCTTAAAATACTGGAACATTTAAATATTAATCACGGTAGGGTAATAAACAAGTTATTGTATTAAGACTACAAGCTATAGAAGGAGCAAGATTTGATGTGAGAAACTATTACAGTATGATCGAAAACAAAACCGTCCCACCTAAGAGCTAAATTAATTTTGCTTAAGTCAGTATCAAAAATTCAGTCACCTCAACAAATACTATCGTAGAATGCTGAACCTACCCTCCTCGGAAGACTCGCCTAGCTTTATTGCAACTACTTGTTTAAATGTCTGTTTCCCTGTAATAATAAATACAGAGGCTCATAGTTACTAGGGACTTACCGTGTGTCTGTATTCCCTATATAACAGTGATCAGTACTGTCAGTAATATAGTCTTCAGGGAGTTCAGTATTTTAATTCCTTAACCCTCACAAGAATAGTAAGAGGCAGAATGCAACAGCATCCCATTTTACAGATGAGCAGATACACAGGAGTTAAGCAATGTGCTGTGGTTCCACAGAGAAGCAGCTGAGCTGGGACTTAAAGGTCAGGCCACCTGGCTTAGTGTCCGAGCTCTTCACTGCTCCAGAAGCCTGCCTCTCAGACTAACATTCCTCTGCCTTCCTCACGGACCTCGTTCACTGCTGGCTGAACAGGACAGAGAGGAGGCTGGGCAGATACGTGACAAATAATAATGGCTGTTTCCAATGACCACAGGATGGTCCCTTGGCACCCCTCCCCTTATTTTTTCTTTCCAACATTTCTTCAGTTTTCCAGATTAATTTATATTGATACACTACTGTAATCACAGCCTGAAATTACATGCCCCAAATAAATGTATTGTTTCTCCACTTACTTTGCTGCTTCTGAGTGTCTTTTAAAACCTGTGAGCCCCTCTCTCCACATCACCTTCTGTAGATCTTCAGCCAAGTGATATGAAAACCTGCCCCCACCCTACGACTTTGTATTCTATCAAGAATTTTCAAATGTTCTCCTACAGTTTCTTTTTTGTGTTTTTTTCCTCCTAGAATTTCTAACTGCCGGTAACCCTATGTTGATACATGTTTCACTTCAGGACAGAATTTTAAAAATTAAGTTGGCAGGAAAGTAAAAATTATTCTAAGTAGTTCTAAGTTGTCCGTTGTTTCCCAAATAATTCACTTTTATTGGTATTTATAATATCCAGGAAGAAAATGAAAAACAAAAATGAGTTTTAAATACTAATATAATAAACAGGTAAGACGTATAAATTTCACCCCAAGGTTATTCAACAGAACTCTCTGTGATATTGAAAACATTCTGGGGGCGCCTAGATGGCTCAGTCAGTTAAGCATCCGATTCTTGATCTCAGCTCAAGGTTGTGAGTTCAAGTTCTGAGTTGGCCTCCACGATGGGCATGGGGCCTACTTAAAATTAAAAAAAAAAACGTTCTGTACCTGCTTGCCCAACATGGTTAGTCACTGGCCACATGTGGCTAGTGAGCACTTGTCCTGTGGCTAGTTTACTTAAGGAACTGAATTTTTTTATCTTATGTAATTTTTATTAATTTAAATTTAAATGCCCACATGAGGCTAGTGGCTTTCATACTGAATGATATGGCACAGCTTTATGTTAAATGCTCTGTAATTCACCTTTACACACCAGAAAAATTCACTCTGATATAGTTTAGTCAGTTTCCCTGAGTGCTAACATTCTGGAATCCAACAGACAAACAGAACCGCAGACACAGCATCTAATTACTAAATATCATGTATTGCCAAACCTACAAAATCTCATTTATTTTAACTTAAACACTTCCCTTTGCAGACTCAGCCATGCAATAAAAGCATACTTCGTTTTTGTCCTCTGAACAACAAGAAGAGAGCAAAAGTGGAAGGAGTTGCAGAAAGAAAAGAGTCAGGAGTGAAAACGACTGGCGAAAAGGGGAGACTGGTTAGTTTCATACAATAGCAAAACAGGCAATTATTCAAAAGTAAGGTCCTAAAAAATGGCATGCTAAAATATTTAAAATACACTATTAAGAAAAAGGACGTTTTAAAACGGAGACATTTATGCTCCACTAAATAGTGATTATGCACGTGGCCGAAAGGGTTCGTCTTCCGTAATTATACTTACATCAGAAAAAGTCAGTTAAAATAAAAACCATTTCTACATGTAACCAATTCTTATAGGAAAGCTGTAATTACCTTCATTTACACACATCTTGAAAATAAATGTTTAATTTTTGTAAGAGAATCTGGTGCCAATAATATAATTTTTGTACACAGAGATGGTTTTAAATGAAGCTTCAATAGCGAATGTATAAAATAAATCTTGACTAATCTCAACACAATTATTTGTTTGAAACGTCTCAGTGACGTGTAGAGGTAAACGGAAGAACCCAATCATGGTTACCCGAATGGTATTAAATAAACCAAAGCTGTAAAAATCCATTTCCTGCCTTCTATTATGAATATTAAAAAGCAGTGAAAACACCCGCTCAGTAGTTGGATTCTCTATGTTAACAGCAAGCAGCCAAACCAGAATTAGCACTGCACGCACCCCACCCCCCACCCAGCTACCTCATGTATTTAGAACACGGAGAAGAGAGAGTTCCGAGTATTAGAAGAGCCACGGGACACAATGCCAGCCAGGAGGAGCTGGGAATGACAGAACCATGTTGTGTAGGGTTTAAAATAAATAAATAAAAATATTCTACTAATGGCGAGGATCCTCTTTTAAAAAATAATAATCTTTCTCCAAAAAAAACCATTTTATCAGGAAAGAGGAAATTTAAAGCTGGAAAAACATCAACAGAACAGAGGCAACAGTGCTCAACTGTATGTCCTTCTTTCCAATTTTATAGCACTACTCTCTCTTTTGGCTAATTTTCTTGGCCAATAGCTCCAAGAAAATAAAATTATTAAAACTGATGAGAGGTAATGCTTTGTTCCCTGTCTTTAATATGCGATGAATTCTGGCTTTCCACTGCCATAGATCCATAGTATCATGTGAAATTAATACCCATGCAAGAGTTATATTATTATTATTATTATTTTAATGAATGTTCATGGCACATGGGTAGCTCAGTCAGTTAAGCATAGGATTGGGTCATGATCTCAGGGTCGTGAGATGGAGCCCCTCGTTGGGCTCGGTGCTGGGTGCAGAGCCTGCGTGGGATCCTCTCTCTTCCTTTCTCTCTGCAGCCCCGCCCATCCCCCCTCTGAAAATAAATAAACTTTAAGATATATATATATGAAAAAATTTAATGTTCAATCTCACAAAATGTTTTCCATTAGATACAACCATACTGTTTCTCCTGTTTGACAAGGTAATATGGGAATTCTATTCATAGATTTCAAACTACTACTCATCCTGGCATTCCCACGGTGAACCTTGCTCGATTAGGGTATATTGATCTTTTAATGTGCTGTGGAATCCACTGGCTAATATTTTATTTAGACTTTCTCCATCAATATTCTTGACTGAGGCTGTGTTATTTTTTTCCCCCATTGGTCCTGTCTTTCTTAGGTCTTGATAACAATATTCTACTAACTTCATTTTTTTTAAAACTATGGAAGCTTCTATCTTTTTATATGGGCTGAAAACATCTCAATACTACTGGAGTGATCTCTTCTTGAAATATTTTACTGCATTCCCCTGAGAAACTAGCTGGATCTGACATATTTTGGAGGGTAGCTTTATCCCTCAACTTTATTTCTTCTGGGTGGCTTCAGGCAATTTCTCCATGTAGGTTTTTCTATCTTTTCTATTGTCAGTTGTGGCAAATACTATCTCCTAGAAAAATTATTTGGTTTTTTTCCTGGTCTTA